GATTTTCAACCTTTTGCATCTCATGAACTAATTACTAAAATTCTGCAGCACACCAAAGTATATTTTTTGCCAACCCAACAAAAAACATAGGTATAATTTTGACTCATACACACCGATGGCTATTGTTGTGTTGGCTGTTGTCACTTTTTAATTTGACAATCTACGGGAAAAGAGGTCAGTGCCCCTGACTCAATAGTCAGGTATTGCATGTTTTAAAAATTCTTGCGGTGCACTGGTTGAAAATCACTGTGCTACAAGTTTAGCAGAAACACTCAGTGTCTTTGGGTCCCAAGTGGTATCAAAGGAGAGAAGTACACATTCATCAGTTCACCTTAACTACTCCAAACCCTCTCAGGCCCACAGGTCAGATAACGGGGCTCAGACCAACATCACTCTTTTTGCAAGCTCTGTATATCTGAACCTTTTGGCGAAGAATCAGATGTGCAGAATTGCTGGGCTAGACCTCCTCTAGAATTCCAGAAACATCGTAACCTTAATCCTCACTCTCCGTGGGCCTATCTCACTTGCCAATTATGACAACAGTGACAAAAACCCAACATACTAACTCCATATGGGCAAGAGCCTTTTGTTTTACTTTTTAATGTTCAACAACATCAAATAAGCTTTGGCTAAGCAAAAAATGCTTTCCCAAGGACTCATAAAAAGCTGAGGGATGACAATGACTAAAATTGCCACATCTTTGCAACCGTCCTGAGTGCACTGCTATAAATCGCACCAATAATGCACAGAGGCACCATCGACGTTTGCCTGGGGGAGAGGCAACTGCTTGTCAGTGTCTGTGCGTGATGGTCAATACCAAGAACATGCGAGCATGCCTGGGGCCACTGCTATGAAACACAATCAAATTTTCATTTTCCAGAAAAATATAAATTAGATGTGCCTGGGCCTAAAAAACCCCAAACCTGAACAATTATACAAATCAATTCTGAACTGTCTGAGGGAGAAACTCAATTTTAGAAGAAACCTGTTTCTTACTGGCGGTAGTCCAGCCAGTTCCTCTTGGGCAGGGAAAAAACTGTCTCTAACATTCTGAACAATGCTTCCCAGCACTGTGAAGCCGAAGGCCAGAGACTGACCAGTTGCCCAGTCCTGCTATGTGCCAGGCATTATGCTAAATAAGGCTGCATTTACTATCATTGCTATGGATTGAATTCTACCTATCACCACCCTGTCAATTCTAAGTCGAAGCCTTAACCTTCAATGAAACTATATTTAGAGATAGGGTCAATAATGACATCATAGGAGAGGGTCCCTGCTCTGATGGGATTAGTAGACACCAGAGAGATCTCCCCCCCAATATGCACAGAGAAGTCATGTGAACACACAGCACGATGGGCCACCATCTTTACAAACTGAGATGAGAGCTCTCACCAGAAACTGAACGTGCAGGCACCTGGCCTTCGCCTTCCAGCTTCCAGAATTGTGAGAAAATAATTATCTGTTGCTTAAGCCACCCAATCTAGGGTATTTTGTTGTGGCAGCCAGAGCTGGCTAATGCAGTCCCCATATTTTAATTTTCAGGATCACTCTGCAGTAGATGTGATGATTAAGTAGTCAGGAGAGCTAAGGAAATGTTTATATGATACACTCAGGATATTCAGAGAGCCACTAAAACTCTAGGGAATGAGACCATGCTCTTGGGAGGCCCCAGACAGCAGTGGTTAAGAAGGTGGGCTCAGAGTCAGAATCTCAGGCCTCTCTTCCCAGCTGTATAACTGTAGGGAAGTTACTTCCCCTCTTAGTTCCTTGGTTTGCTTGTCTGTGAAATAGGAACAAAACCTAAAACTCATAGGGTTGTGAGGGTTAGATGTAGGAACCCTGAGGACTGCATTTGCCCAGTGCTTGTTGAAAACATGTATTCCTGACTCCCATCCTGGCCTGCTGAGCCAGAATCTTCAAGGACGGGTCCCCAGGACAGGAATCTAATAAACAGCCAGATCATTCTTAAACTGAACAAGTTTTGCAAACTGAGATAGAATCCATGTAAAGCACTTGGCCTTGACCCAGTCTCCCTTTACAAAGGTCAGCCACTGGTTCATTACCGCCTGGTCTATAGTAAGTCCTCACTTAACATTGTCAACAGGTTCTAGGAAACGATGTAATAAGGAAAACCAGTCTTAGCATAGCCTAATTGACATACAGAAATATGCTGCGGTAACTTACTCTTGTTTAAATCAATTAGCCTGTAGTAAAATTGGCTTAAGCCGCAGTCTCTAAGAACCTATCGACTACATTAAGTGAGGACTTAACTATATTTGCAGATGGCACAGTAATGTCACCAGGATGATGAATTAGTAGACACCCTCTATATAATTTTAGAAGACATCACTCTATAACCATAAGTAAAAATCAAGCTGTACATTTAAGATGTGTGTATATTGCTATTTATAAATTATACCTCAATAAAAGATTTTTCAAAGAAATTTTAAAAAGACAGAACTCCCCTTCTTTAGAAAAATGCACTCGAAGACAAATAATGTTACTAGATAGGCTGTGAGCCCAAATGCTCAAATATAAAGGACACAGTTTCACGTGGGACTGTACAGAAAACTCAGGAAGTAAAGGAAGGGGTCACTTGATGAACTTAAATATGTGGCTAGGGAAGCAGCCAATGGAAGGATTAGGGTAACCTCAGTAATGGAAGGATCCAGAGTTTTCCTTTAATTTCTACCACTTCTGGCAGAAATGAACAGCTTCAGCCCAACCTCCCACCGTATAGAGCTGGCCTTACTGCAAGGATAGAATAGTTTCACTCAGATGGGGCGAGCCCTGCTCCCCGGCATCTCATTCACACGCCCAGCCCGAGGCTACCAGAAGGCACATCTTCCCTGCATGACTACTGGGGAAAGGGAGGGGTTCTTGTCCTTGCTGCTCGTTTGCTTTTCCAAAGTCTTTTCCTAGGCACATCCCCAGAGCCGTGGGAAAAAATGGACCATGACCAATGCATGTGTAAACCAGGGTGGCTGATGCATAAGCCAAAAGGTCAATAAACCTGTTTCCACGAAGTATATCTCCCCCTGGGCTTGGGAGACAGAGGCATCCGCAGAGCGCATTTGACCGATGGGCACTCTGAAAGAAGGAGGTGCAGTGGTCAGCCTGGGGTGAAGCACCATCCTAGTGGGAGAGAAACTGAGATGGAAACTCCAGCTCTTTCTTTTCCAGGCTACTGCTCGGGACCAGGCAGCAATGACCTACTAGCTTGAGGGGATGAAGTGAGGACAGCCAGAGCCGTCCTAACCTCTCGGACAGACTCTGCCTCACAGGCTACAGCTGGAGATCAGGGTCATGGTCACGGGCCTAATTTTATCACCTCTCATAAGGCTACTATATACATCTAATAATACTTTCTTCTTTTGCAGGTCAGAGGTCAGGCCAGGTCATTAGGGAAAGGGCAGTAAATTGGAAGGTGAAGTGTCACCTTCGTATCTCGCGTGGATGGGGAACGTCCGGCCCGCGGGCAGTATCCAGCCCTCGAAATCATTTGGTCTGGATCTGCCAAGGCAGCTGCAGTTCCAGCCGTCACATTAGGGGTGAGTTAATTAAATGTTTGACCAAATATAGCAGGCTAATTTTTAAGTTAATAATTCTGTATGGCCCACGAATGATGTTATAAATATCCAAATGGCCCTTGGCAGAAAAAAAAGGTTCCCCACTCCTGGGACAGTGGGGAACTGATTGTTTATGCTGCACCGATTTTTCTAAATGAGCACAGTTTGCACAGAAGAGGTTTCCATTTTCTATTTCCACATCGGATGCAGATTTACGGTTCCAGGCTATTCACGTGCTTTGTTCACAGTCCACACCTGGCATCCCTGCAGCACGGAGCCTGGAAGAGAGACATTTCGTGCCCCCCGACCACCGGCAAACCTCCTCATATGTCATTTACTGTGTCTGCTCCCACCCCCCTTTCAGGAAACTTTGCTTTGAAGAGTTCCATTGGTGACAGCGACCTTCTTCAGGACTGCCCTTCACCACTGGAGCCCTGCTTGTGCCCACACCCCAGTGAGCCTCCGAGATGACACCTCGCCAGGCAGCCTGGCCTTTGATGGCCTGCTGTGCGGGCCCAGCCCAGCCCCTTGCAGGAACTGGGACAAATTCGAAGGTCCTCGTTTCTGCTCTGGGGCAGACGCTGTCCAAGAGAACTTTCTGTGGTGACGGAAATGTTCTGATCTGTGCTGTTCGCAATGACAGCCTCTAGCCACAGCTGCCGAGTACCTGAAATGCGGCTGCTCTGACAGATGAACTGAAGGCTTTTTTTGTTTGTTTTTTAAAATGTGTTTTTATTGACTTCAGAGGAAGGGAGGGAGAGGGGAGAGAGATAGAAACATCAATGATGAGAGTCATTGACCTGCTCCCTCCTGTGCGCCCCCTCCTGAGGACTGAACCTGAAACCCGGGCGTGTGCCCTGACTGGGAATCGAACCGTGACCTCCTGGTTGATGCTCAACCACTGAGCCACCCCGGCCAGGCTGACCTGAAGTTTTGCATTCCTGGCTGAATGAGTGCATGCGTGCGTGAATGAAAAGGCCCATTTCCACAGGAAGCATCACACAACTGAGGAAGAGCTCCTTACAGAGTCTTGCGCTAAGCGAGCTTTAAAAGCACAGTGGGACATTCACACATGACATTCTTTGTGTTACCAAGGAAAGAGACTTGGTAATTCTTTCTACCTGAATTTCAAGATTGTAAATACATGTCCATAGTTCACGTCAAAGGGGATGGGATGGAGATTCAGGAAGGGGACTAGATCGGGACCTGCTCCTTCACGATGGGTGAATAGTTTGTTCTTTGTCTCTGTGTTGCTCATGTTTGGCCACCACTGGTCATTAATCTGACTAACAACAGGTGGCTAGATTCTGGAGGAGCTCTCAGCTCCTGTTGCAACAGTAAGCAGTAATACTGGGTATTGAAATAACTGCACTTGATTAAAACAGTTTGAAGCTGCAAACACATCACACCCAACCGCAAAGCCGTGGCTACCTGGTGGCAAGAAGAGGGTACGTGTGAACCGGGCTGAACCAGGCTTCCTTCCTCCGGGGCATGCTGTCATAGATTAAAAGGTCCTTCTCGGTCAGTACAACCAGCGCCGGCTTCCACTGCTTCTCATTTTCTCCAGGCACCTGAAACAGAAAGCGGAGAGCTGGCCAACAACAGCCTCAGAAAGAGTGGCTGGAAAGGAGAAGCTGGCATCCCCTGAATCAGAAGACACACAATGGGAACGTCTTTCACTCAGGCTGCAAAATTAAAATGAGAAGAAACCATTTCATGGTTTCATGATCTCGATCTTTGAAAATAGGTTTTCTCAAGGCCCTGGGACGTATGGCCAATGCCACCAAGAAGCAGCCCACTGCTTCTCACCTGCCAGCCAGCACTGAAAACTGTATTTCATTGTGGGGCACAGATGCCTGGGAGACTAAGCGCTCCCAGCTGGTTCTCTGGTAGAGCACATTGCTTTTCTTATAAAATGGTGAGGCTTGAAAGCTTTGGAAAAAATATCTAAAGGCAAAGGTCTGTCTGAAACAGTGTGAGACATCACAGACCCCTCCCCTGTCTTTCACTCTTAGCTTGTTTTTGTGAGTCAGGCATCCTCTTGGAATTCTCTTGTTCTGGAATGTTTAGTTCTATTCATCACAGATAATTCTTTAATTTAAGGGCTGAGATAACCTGGCAGGGAATTTGAGAGGATTCGAACATCACTTGGATGTTTGGACCAGATGATCCTGAAAGGCCCTTCCAACCTTGGGAGTCTGCGTAGCTCAGATCTCTGCGCAGTGTTGATCCCCCCAAACTCCCTAGATGTTCTTCCATCTGTCAAAGTGCCCTGCTTCCAATATGAACTCTGGGGTACATCTTGATGCTTAGTTTGGGAAAACTCAACGCTCTAGCCTTGCAACTCAAAGCAGGATCATGTTCCAGGAGGATCAGCATGACCTGGGAGCTTGCAGAGGCTCAGGCCCATCCCAGACCTAGTGAATCAGAATTTGCATTTTAACAAGATCTTGAGCTTATTCATATTCTCATTAATGCTTAAGAAGCGCTGCTCTAGATGAGGTTGAGATTGTCTTTGACATTGGCAACTAATTCAGTGAAAATCCAACCCTCTGGCAACACACCACTATCCAAAATCTATTCAGAATGAAACTAGACAGCTAAATAAATAATAACGCTAACGCCTTCCCTTTCTCTTGTATTGAGGTGGAAGCAAGCGTATGTGGCTTCAGGAATGAGTGATCAAAGCAGAGATGTGCAGGGTGATATAAGGGGTGCGCTCTGTAGGTTATGTAGCTTCATAGGCACCTGGGTCTGAGTCCCTGCTCCATTGTTTATTGCCTGTGTCGCTTTGGGCGAGTTATTCTTCTCTGTGCTTCTATTTCCTCACTGATAAGGATAACATCTTCTACAACAGTGGCTAGGAGTGCTGACTCTGGAGCTAGAATGCCTGGACATAAATCATAGCTCCACGATGTGCTAGCTGTGGGATCTGGGGCCAGTCAGTCAATCTCTGTATCTCAATTTCTGTATCTGTAAAATGGGGGAATAATAGCACTTAGATCAGAGGGTTGTTGTGAGGATTGAGTTAAAATGTCTAAAATGCTTAGCACAGCGCAGAATAAGCACCATTTAGAGCAGGTTAAGTAGCACATGCCTCATAATGCTGCAGTGGAGGTGAAATGAGACGGAGCGTGTAATGTGCTTAGCATAGTACCTGGCAGATGGTAAGGTCCTCAGTGAAACGTAGGGTGGGAAAACTGTGTCAGACTCACTAATTTCTAAACTTGTCAAATAAGGTGTTCTTTAGAAATGGCAACAATATGACAAAGTTACAATTTTCCTTAGGAAAAATTCTCAGGCAAGCCCAGAATATCTTTGTTGCTGAGAACCTCAATTCATTCTCTTTGGGTCCTTTCCAAAGTTCTCCCAAGAAGAATGTGCTGCACAGTGCTCACCTTTATTGTTTAATGCCCCTCCTTCAACAAGTCCAAATAAAACTGCCTTTTCTAGAAGGAAGAAATCTCCTGTGAAGCTATTTATACTAGAATGTGAGTGGCTGCCTGGTTTATTTCTCCCTTTATGCATTTTATGAATATTTAAGCCTATTTCACTTCCCAACAAAACAACAGCATCTTCAAGAGATCCGAATGAAGTGTCAGAGGAGGCACTGTGCCAGACCCTTCAAGGTGACTAAGCTATGGTCTCACGGCATAAAGTATTGGCGAGGTTTGGAGTACATTTTTCCAGGCTGTACATTAAAACCTAGTAAATTACTTTTCCAGCTCATTAAATAAGTTACAAATGATCCTCCCAAAGTGCCTATCTTACTTACCTAGTCAGATCTGATCCATTAACTTTGACGAGAACCAGTCATTTCAATGTCAACACAAATAAGCATCATTCTTCAAAAACAATATTATGTTTGCAAAAGAAACCTCAACAGTCAACACCAATAGTACAATGCAGACCTTTCTAATGGTAGAAGCACAAACTCGCCCCATGTCAGGTGGCATATATAGGTATGAAAGTGTGGGCGTTTATAACTAGTAAACTTTTCTAGATATTTGCGTCACTCGGCAGTTAAGTGCCTCCTGACCATTTCAGCTCATGGCTTGAAACCACTAGATTTGAAACGCACACTTTCAGCAGTGTTATAGTGGCTATATTAACCACAGAATCTTCTAGATAAGAAGCTCACAAATTCAGAGGACCAGGTATAAGACAGTTCCACACTGAGGTAGCTTCTTTTCAGCATTAGTTTATCATCACCCTATCATTACCAGGAAAGCTGTAAAAAATAAAGAGCCCAGAGACTATGATCTATGTGCTCTCTTTGTGGACACTCTTTACCCACCCATGGCTCCAACTTCCTGTCCCCTTCACTAGGTGTGAGTTGTCCATACTCAGCTTCTAGAAATAAATGAAAGGCTGCTTCTAATCTGTTACATCCACAAATAATTAAATTAGGCGCCTCTCAGTCTGGCGGAAAAAGCTATTTTATATACTTTTCATTAACTGCAAAGGGTCATTTCAATTACAGTCCCAGTTTGGTAAACAAGTTATCTTTGACTTACAGGCTTTACTTCTCTAACGCCCAGGAAACATGCCTTTTAAAAGGATGCTGATGTGCAGCAGAAATTCATAATTTTGTAAACAGCTATCTTTTGAAAGATTGACATTATCACTAACTCCAAAGGGAGCGAGTTCTTTAAATAAAGTCTCTGCTTCAGTGTCCTGTTTTTGTTTTCATTGGGTGCGTCTGTGGTTTCCTTGTTGATTTCCTTATTTTGTTTACTTTCCAAAGGAGAAAGCCAAGAGTTCTTTGAAGGATGAAGTTGCTGGAGTGTCTGGCTTCAACCCCACATCACTGTTTTCTAAAGTCTACCAGCTATTCAATTATGTCAGACATCGTAACACTATTTACAATGTGAAAGAAATAACATCTTTGCTTTCATTTGGAGATATTCAAGTTTTATAACCAAACAAAAGCAAAACAAGAATTCATTTTAGAGAAATCTCAACATTTGTGTGTCCAAGAAACCGAGTGACAAATTCCAAAGTTCACTTATCTTACTTTAGTTTGAATGCCTTCCTAAAACCTGCCCCAACTGGGAAGATTCTTTTTTTTTTCCCTCTGACCTCCTGGAAGCAAGAAGGCAATCTGGTATTAAGAACATAAATCTTGTTGTCAGACAGTTGTAGCCTGCAAGTCAGCTCAGCTACTGACAATGTGATCTTGAACCAGTTACTTATCTCCTCCAGGCTTCGCTTCCCTCATCTGTATAACGGGGTGATAAGAGTCCCTCTCCCCTGTGACTATCAGGAGAATGGAGTCAGACAATGCACATAAATGGATTATAGCCCAGTGCCCGGCAGAGAGGAAGTTCTCAAAAATCAGTGTTTCTCCAAGTTTGATGGACACATCACAGATTCTGCAATTCGGTCTGCTTCAGAATCAGCTGGGCTGCTGGTTACAAATTCAGATGTCTTTCTCTCCTAGAACCCATGGATTCAAAAGTGCTGGAGGTGGCACCAGGAATCTGCATTTATAGCAAGGGCCCTGGGTAAGTCTGGTGCATACTATCTGAGAATATCTGCAGTAAGTGTTAATTACCACAATCAGAACATACATAGCCCTCATTTCCAACCAGTGATTCCCAAAGATGAACCCCCTTGGATTTCCTGCCTCAGTATCACTAGGCACTAATTAAAAACACAGATTCTTGGCCCTGGCCAGTGTGGCTCTGTTGCTTGGAGCATTGTCCCTATAAAGAAAGGTCCCAGGTTCGATTCCCGGTCAGGGCACATTCGGGTTTAATCCCCAGCCCCAGTCAGAGTGCGTGTGGGAGGCAACTGATCGATGTTTCTATCTCCCATACATATTTATCTCTCTCTGTCTCTCTCCCTCTCTCCCATTACCCTTCTCTCTAAAAATCAATGAAATATCCTCGGGTGAGACCCAAACCCCCCCACAGATTCTTGAATCCCAAACGGACTGAATTATGACATCTAAGCATTGAGAATACACATCTCTATTTTTGTGACTTCTGGAGACTGATGCACAGCCTGCTTTGGGATCCCCTGGCCCACATAACTCATTCTGACACTGGATCATAGCCCTCTATTTTTTAACCATTTACTCAGTGTCTATAATACTATGATAGACATTTGTTGGTGGAATGAGCTGAGCTGAATAAAGGTGTATCTGCCCAAGTAAACCTACAAGCTTCCTCGGAGATTTCCCTGCCCTCATTTCTTGCTAATGTTATATCCATGGATGTTTGATTGCTGCATAGTAGTTTTTCCGAACTCTAGTTATTAATGTACTATTTTCATAATTTTTGTTGTATCCACTTTGTACTATTTTGAGAATAACTGCTAGCTGCCCACCCAATACCTAGCTCTCCTTTTTACTAAAAGAGCTCCCAAATCCTTAGGAGTGACAATATGTCCAGTTAAAAAGTCTATTTCTGAGCTCCAGCTTATCTTTCATACCCACCCTCCTCCCACAACTCCAACACAGAGGTGTCTCCCGCCTGCACCCCATGAGGCCCCTTTAGAGATCCACATTCACACTCACTGGTCGGATCAGATGCACGGGCCCCTCTGACGCTGAACAGAGGTCTCC